CATCTGGTGGCTGATCAGGTGGGAGCTCCGCCTGAAGCTCTTCCCACACTGCAAGCATTTGTGGGGCTTCTCCCCATCATGAAGCTGCTCATGGACCACCAGCTCTGAACTCTGGCTGAAGCTCTGTCCACCTTCCTGGCTCAGGGTGGCTCTTTCTTCTTCAGAGCACCCAGGGCTGGGTTTGGAGCCCCTCCTCATGGGGGATGTCTGAGGTTTTTCTTCCCTGTTGGATTCCTGTGCGCTAGAATCACTCAAAACGGCCTCTTTCACGAGGTTCTGCCATGCAGATTTTTCCTCCCTGATCTCCATCCACAGTTCCTTCCCTGGGGAAGGAAGGACAAGGACAGGATGGGATTTGCCTCCATGCCAGAGGGAAGGGGAAGGAGATTCCCCCAGTGCATCCCCAGCAGGACGGGGTTGGCAGCAGGGTTGTCCTGCAGCCAGGGGCTGTGCTGGGCTGGAAGATGGAGCAGGAGAGAGGGGGAAATAGGAACTGACTTCCTCCTCACCTATCTGGGTGTTCTGGGTCTCCTTCCTCTTCCTCACAGCCTCCTTCTCCATCCAATCAAGGTTTGGGAATGGGAAATCCTGTTCTGGGAAGAAAACAAAGGGTGCGCACATTGTCTTTTGTACTGGTTTGAAGGCAAACCTGGGGAGGGTCTAAACCAGAATTACAATTTAAAAGAAAACTAAGATCAAGGCAATGATACAGAAACACTGCCTTAAACTGACAGAGTCAGGATATAACCTGACACCCTGTTGGTCAGGGTGGTGGCAGCAGTCCCAGTAAATGGTGGCTGCAGTCCTGTTGGAGAGATGAGGGTGATTCTGTCAAAGCAGGGATCCTGTAGAAGGGTCTGGTCTTCCTGTGGAGGTCCAGTGGTGGTTATGGAGCTCTTGTCCTCTGGGAATCCAGTAGGCAAGCTGCTCCTGGTGTAGCAAAGTGTCAGCTTATATCCAGGTAGGAATGCTTGGATCCTCCCCCTGGGAGGAGCATCCCACAATGGGATGATGGAATTGTATCAGTCCTGCAGTGACACTCAATGGCCCATTCACAGGAGATATCTCCCCTGGAGGGCGTTATCAGGGGTGAGTCATGGAAGAGATAAAGAACAATGCCCCACCTGTTTATAGCAGTTGCTGAAGGTGGGGATTGAAAACATGCATTTGGTTACATCTTGCATGGCAACCTGAAACAGTGGGGTAATCCCTGCTCAGGGGGTGAACACCACCCCCCTTACCCAAACTGGCTCAGGTGTAAAACCCCCACCCTGGGAAGGGCACACACACACAGGGGACAATGTCACACTTACCCTGCCCCAGGGGAGGGCTCTTTTTCCTGTCATTCCCTTCCTGTCCCCCCTTTTCTATCCCATTTACTGTTCAATAAAATTCATTTTGGGTTTGGTCTCCTTATCACCTTAATTGGGGCAGAGGAATCTCTCTAACACTTTTCTTAACCAGACTCACCAGATTGTGAAATTCTTTTGGCACAGTGAGTTTAGGCACTGTTCTCTGACCCCAAGTGCCTTTGGCAACAGCATGGTTCCCTCCTCTGAGGAGGTTGTGGTTCTCTCTGGAGGAACTCTTTGAAACTGGGCTGCAGCTTCCTCTGAGCGAGTTATGGCAGAACCGATGATGTAAATCGCCTTTGTGGGCCCGGAGTGTAAAGAAAATATTTTGTTGTCCTTCTATTACAGTGACCTAAAGAAGGTCTTCAGTGTGAGAGAAGTGGACGAGAATCTTGGTTCATGATCAGAAGGCTGGATTTATTGATATATGATATATAATCCATTATAACTATTCTAAAAGGAATAAAGAGAAAAGTTGCAGAGGCTTGCTAAGCTAAGAATAGAAAGAAAAGAATGAATAACAAAGTTCTGTGTCCAGCAGAAAGCAAGGACCAACTCTCCCGTGAGTGGTCAGCAAATCCAAACACTCACAGAAGACCAATCACAGATGCTCCTGTTACATTCCACATCAGCAGATAATTATTGTTTGCATTTTTCTTCTGGGGCCCCAGCTTCCCAGAAAGGACAAATCCTAAAAGAGAGGATTTTATGAAAAAATGTCTGTGACATCCTTCCTTGAAATGTTTTTTAAAATCACAGGAGGAAAGGGAGCAAATGATACCAGCGAGACTGACAAGGTTCATTCAACTCATGGTGAGGAACTCAAGGCTGCTAAAAGTCCTACAAGAAGCTCAGCTCAAGTAGCTAAATTCCCAAATAACTCCTGAATTCCCAGGCTTGAGTGTTTTGCGAAATGTGAGAATCATTTTTCTCTTCATCCCTGTCACCTTTGTGACAGCTACACAGAGTTTACTTTCTTTTTAATGATATCTGTATTGGGCTGAATTTACACTTTTATCAGAATGTGCTAGCAGCTGAGCTGGAGCTGTGCAGGAACCAGTGGAACTTGGAATTGCCACAAAATTGCTTGTACTGCCAGTTTATTAATATTTGGGATTTGTTTGCATTTTCATCACATCTGACTTGTGGGAAAATCAAATGTTCATCAAAGTGATTTATGCAGAGTCAAGTTTGATTTCTGCCAAATTCTTTTGTCCAGTGCCCAGGGGATGCTCGGGGGTCTCTGTGCCTCTCGCCCTGGGGGATGCTTGGCAGGGGTTTGGGGGGGTTGTCCCTGTCCCTGTCACCCCAGGCCATTCCCCAGGGGATTGTCCCTGTCCCTGTCATCCCAGGCCATTGCCCAGGGAGTGTCCCTGTCCCTGTCACCCCAGGCCATTCCCCCGGGGGTCTCCATCATTTTCACCCAGGGAATGCCTGGAGGGTCTCCCTCAGGTACTCAGGGCAGTCTCTGTCCCTCTCAGCCCAGGGGATGCTCGGGGGTCTCTGTCCCCTCACCCTGGGGGATGCTCAGGGGGTCTCCATCCCTCTGGCCTCAGGCAATGCCTGTGCAGGGCTGGGGACCAGGAGCTCTGTGTCCCTCTCACTGCTGAGGGTGCTCGGGGCTGGGGGGGCTCTCCCACCTTCTCACCCCTGGGGAGGCCGGGGGGGGGTCTCTGTCCCTCTCAGCCCTGCTGTGACCCCACCCAAACATCATCGGGGTCAGAGGGACAGAGACACCCCCAAACCCCCAGAAGGGCTGAACCTGGGATTTGGTTTGGGGCTTAGGGTTTAGGAAGGGGCTGGAATTGGGGCTGGTGTTGGATTTTGGGCTGAGATTTGGGTTAGAGCTGGGATTGGGGTTAAGGCTGGACATGGGATTGACTTTAGGGCTGGTGCTGGGATTGGGTCTGGGGCTAGAAAAGTCTGGCACTGGGATGAGATTAAATACTGAACTGTGAGTGTGTCTAAACATGGAGTGAGACTGAGACCAGGATCAGGGTCAGGTTTGGGACTGAGCTCACCCAGAGCAGGACAGAGGGGATGTCACTGCAGGATGTCCCTGGCATCATCCCAGCCCTCCTCAGGCACCTCCAAACATGAGGAGCAGCTGGGTGCCCCAAGATCCAGGTGCTCCCACGCTGCCCCTCAATACCAGGCGAGCATTCCCTGAGGGCAGCCCTGACTGTGACCCTTGGGGCTCTGGGATCAGCCCTCACATCCCTGTGGGAGCAGCAGCAGACAGGATGAGAGATTCTCTCGCCCCGTTTTTCCTGTGGAAGGGTGAAGTCCAGCTGCACTTTTCTTCTGGTGCCTCCTCCTCTCCTCAGCTGAGGATGTCAAACTCTCCAGGAGCAGGAAAATCCCCATTCCCTCTTTCCTTGTGGCTGCAGCCTGGAACATCCACCCAGAATGAAGGACTTTCTGACAGCCCTGCTGAATGACACTGGCAAGAGGTTTGTGAGAAGGGGAAGAAATTGTATTTTGATAGTAAATAAAAGGTGCAAAATTATTCCTTTCTGTTATATTCCTTTTCAGTCAGTTCTGGTCTGTTTTCAGAGCGCCACCTTCTCAGCTGATTGTGTTTGTGCCCTCCTTTCTCTCCTGCCTCTCTTTGTCTGCTCTGTTTCTCTCTCAGTGTCTCCCTTGACCCAGGGCAGCTCACACCAAAGACCGTGCCCGGATTTAATTCCCAATTCAGGAGCTACAACAAGCATGGGGGAAGTTATGAAGGCTCGCAGTGAAATGCCACTGTAAGATCTTGCTCCACTTGGCTTTTGGCTCCTTTTTGACAGCTTTGCCCTCAAGGGCAAGAACATCTTTTCATAGCTGAGAACTGGAATTCCAGACCCTGGCAGTGTGTGCCGTGGATTCCAGAGGGGCATTCCCGAGGCTCCCAGGGTGCTGCTCCTCCCAAGGAGCTTCTCTCCCAAGGGGAGAAGATCCAGCAGCTCTGTGGGCTCCCAGAGCACACAGCAAAGGTGGCTTTGATGGACATTTTCCAGGGACTGGGGTGGGAAGGGACCCTGTCCATGGATTACGACCCCGCGAGGGAGAGACGCCTCTGCCTCAGTGAAGGAGCGAATGAGAGCGTGGGAACGAAACCGACGATTATTGAGCGTGGACTGAACGGAACAAGAAATGGGGAGGAGAAAGGGAGAGAAAGAAATCCGGAAGAGGTCTGAAAGAGAGAAAGAAAAAGGAAAGAGGTCTCAGACAACAGAAAGAAATGGGAAAAGGCTCCCGCCTGGACTCCGCAGCTCCCAGGAACACCCGCAGGGCGTAGCGCCTTTTACAATTCCAGCCAATCAGAGGACGCGGTAAACAATTTCCAGCCAACCAGAGCTTATCTCGCCGATGACTCACCGGTTGCCAGGCGGGCCCGCAGAGCCCAGCGGCCGCGGAGCGGAATTTGGGGCTCGGGCCGGGGGGACGGATCCGCCCCGGGGGGGCCCCTGAGCCCCCTGCCCAGCCCTGGGGCCTATCGGGGGCTCCCCCACCCAGCAGCCGGTGCTGCGGGGCCGCGGGGCAGAGCGGTGGGAAAGGGGAGTCGGGGCTGGCAGCGGAGGAAATGCGGGAGGAAGAGGAGGGACAGGAGGAGCGGGAGCGGGAGCGGGAGAATCGCGGCGCTCGCAGCGCCCGCGCGCCGAGCCTGCAGCGCCCCCTGCCCCGGGAGCATCGCCCCCAGCCCCGAGCCGCAGGTGAGGGCGGAGGCCGAGCTCGCCCCGGCTCCAGCCAGGGGTCTCCGGGAGGATTTTTTGGAGAGTGTTCGGAGCCGGCAGATCCGGGACTCGAGCCCCGGGTATCTCCGGGCTCCCTAAGAGGAGCTTTTTCGGGGGGAGAGCAGCCGCGATCGCCCCTCGGAGGGTCCCGGGGGGGCCACGTGGGGATGGCCCGGTACCGACGGGGCGGGACATTGGTTTTGGGGATCCCCGTGAGAGCTGGGGCTGTGGAACGGGGGACCCCCGGGGCGGGGAGAGGGGAAGGGGCGATACCGGAGCTGGGGCACCCCCGGCAGCCCGGAGATGAGGCGGGGACGGGACCCCCTGACCCTGACAGGGGTGTCCTGGGGTGACTTCATGATGCTCGTACCCCATCGGTCTGCTTAGCCCAGAAATGAGTTCTGCACCTTTCAGGCCGGTTCTGAGAGCGAAGGGGAGGAGGAAGAAGCAGCAGTTTGTTTTCAGAAACTGTACTCACTCCTCTACATTCCGGCTGCTGGATGGACAGAGAGCAGGACAGAGCTCTCCTTTGCTTTTAGTTAGTTTTTAGCTCGCTGAGGCAGAGAAGTTCCCTGGACTGTGGTTTTTCTTTTTCTTTGGAGCTGTTTAAATCTGCTCTGCGCTGAACACCCAGAACATCACCGGCAGCTGGCACCTGTGGCCCACCTGGCTGAGCCTGGGCCACAGCATTTCCAGTGCTGGAGGGACTGAAAAGAGACTGATAAGAGACTGATAAGAGACTGATAAGACACTGAGTGCTCGGAGCTACAACCCAAGCAGGAACTTTCAGAGTTTGTCATATATTTTGGAGCAGCAAGAGGTTTTATTGCTTAATATTGTTCAATTTTTGTGCTGGTAAATGCTTTGCCTGTAACATTACGGTTTTTTTCCACTTTTCTCTAAGGAAATATTTTCCCAAACTGGCTGAAGGTCGGACTGCTGAATCGGCATTCTAGAGGAAACTCCTTTTGGAGGGTTTCAACCGATTTTGCCCTAAACCAGGACAGGGTGGTAGAAAGAAGGGGGAACCCCAAGTGGCTGGATTGAGGGGAGGCTGGAGAGGGGGACCTTGGGACCCCAGAACCTCCCAGAATCCAAAAGCAGAACCCTGGAGAGGGGGGATCCCCAGGACCCATGGGATCCCCAGAAGCCCTGAGATGGAGGACCTACCATAACCCAAGAGGGATGAGACTGGAAATGGGAAACTCCTGGTGGCTTTTTTTGATTCACTCTTGAGTTTTGGACATCAGGTGACTTATAGAAATGGACGTGGGTGGGAGGAATCCCCAACCCAAGGCATTCACACCTTGTTTTTCCCCAAACCAGGATTTTCCCCAAACCTTCCCACCATAACATCCCCCCTGTCCCACTCTGGGTAAGATCAATCCCAAACCTGACCCTGATCCTGGTCTCAATCTCACTCCATGTTTAGACACACTTACAGTTCTGTATTTAATCTCATCCCAGTTTCAGACTCATCTATCCCAAGACCCAATCCCAGCCCCAGACCTAAAGCCAATCCCATGTCTAGCCTTTACCTCAATCCCAGCTCTAATCCAAATCTCAGCCCAAAATCCAACACCAGCCCCAATTCCAGCCCCTTCCTAAACCCTAAGCCCCAAACCAAATCCCAGGTTCAGCCCTTCTGGGGGTTTGGGGGTGTCTCTGTCCCTCTGACCCCGATGATGTTTGGGTGGGGTCACAGCAGGGCTGAGAGGGACAGAGATCCCCCCGGCCTCCCCAGGGGTGAGAAGGTGGGAGAGCCCCCCCAGCCCCGAGCACCCTCAGCAGTGAGAGGGACACAGAGCCCCTGGTCCCCAGCCCTGCACAGGCATTGCCTGAGGCCAGAGGGATGGAGACCCCCCGAGCATCCCCCAGGGTGAGGGGACAGAGACCCCCGAGCATCCCCTGGGCTGAGAGGGACAGAGACTGCCCCGAGCACCCCCTGGCACAGGGTATGAGAGGGAGGGAGACCCCCAGGCATTCTCTGGGGTGAGAATGATGGAGACCCCCTGGGGAATGGCCTGGGGTGACAGGGACGGGGAAACCCCCCCCAAACATCTCCCAGGGCAAGCGGAACAGAGGCTTCACAAGCATCCCCTGGGCACCAGACAAAGTAATGTTGTTTCTTGTCAGAAATCAAAATTGACCCTAGATAAAATGCCTTGAATTTACTCTTCCCACAAGTCCCTTGTGATGGAAAGGCAAATAAATCCCAAAATTTTATAAACTTACAATAGAAGCTGTTTTGTGGCAAATCCAAATTCCTTTGGTCCTGCACAGCTCCAGCTCAGCTGCTGGCACATTCTAAAAAAAGAAAAGTGGAAAATAGGCCCAATACGGATTATGAAAAGGAAGGGGAAGCTATGTATAGCTGTCACAAAGGTGACAGGGACAAAGAGAAAAATTATTCTAACATTTGGCAAAGTCCCCCAGCCTGTGAAACAGACCTCCCCTGGAGGGGGCCAAGTGTGACATTGTCCCCTGTGTGTGTGGCCTTTTCGGGGTGGGGGTTTTACACCTGAGCCAGTTTGGGTAAGGGGGGTGGTGTTCACCCCCTGAGCAGGGATTACCCCACTGTTTCAGGTTGCCATGCAAGATGTAACCAAATGCATGTTTTCAATCACCATCTTCATCAACTCTTATAAACAGGTGGGGCATTGTTCTTTATCTCTTCCATGACTCACCCCTGATAACGCCCTCCAGGGGAGATATCTCCTGTGAATGGGCCATTGAGTGTCACTGCAGGACTGATACAATTCCATCCTCCCATTGTGGGATGCTCCTCCCAGGGGGAGGATCCAAGCATTCCTACCTGGATATAAGCTGACACTTTGCTACACCAGGAGCAGCTTGCCTACTGGATTCCCAGAGGACAAGAGCTCCATAACCACCACTGGACCTCCACAGGAAGACCAGACCCTTCTACAGGATCCCTGCTTTGACAGAATCACCCTCATCTCTCCAACAGGACTGCAGCCACCATTTAATGGGACTGCTGCCATCACCCTGACCAACAGGGTGTCAGATTATATCCTGACTCTGTCAGTTTAAGGCAGTGTTTCTGTATCATTGCCTTGATCCTTATTTTGTTACTGAATTGGAATTCTGGCTTAGACTCTTCCCCAGGTTTGCCTTTAAACCAGTACAAAGCTCATTGTGCTCATCCCTTGTTTTCTTCCCTTGTTTTAGGAATATCCCATTCCTAAAACTTGGCCAGATGGCGGAAGACACCTCAAGGAAGATGAGGATGCCCCAGGACACCCAGGCAGGTGAGGAGGAAGTCAGTGCCCCTTTCCCCCTCTCTCCTGCTCCATCTCCCAGCCCAGAAAATCCCCTCGCTGCAGGACAACCCTGCTGCCAACGCCATCCTACCAGGGGTGCACTGTGGGGATCTCCTTCCCCTCCCCTCTTGCATGGGGGGAAATCCCATCCTGTGCTTGTCCTTCCTCTACCAGAGAAGGAGCTGAGGATCAAGATCAGGGACAACAAATCCCCACAGCACAACCTCATGGAAGAGGCCGGTTTGAGTGGCTCCATGGGAAAAGAATCCAATGGGGAGGAAAAGCCCTGGAGATCCTCTATGAGGAGGAGGGGCTCCAAACCCAACCCAGGGTTCTCTGAGGAGGAAAGACCCACCCTGAGCCAGGAAGGTGGACAGAGCTTCAGCCAGAACTCGCAGCTGGTAGTCCATGGGCAGCTTCCAGATGGGCAGAAGCCCCACAAGTGCTTGCAGTGTGGGAAGAGCTTCAGGCAGAGCTCCCACCTGATCAGCCACCAGATGATCCACACCGGGGAATGGCCCTATGAGTGTGGGGAGTGTGGGAAGGGCTTCAGCTACAGATCCAACCTTGTGACCCACCTACGCATCCACACTGGGGAGGGGCCCTATGAGTTTCCCCAGTGTCAGAAGAGGTTTCAGACCAGCTCCAGTCTCCTCCAGCACCAGCGGATTCACACTGAGGAGAGGCCCTTCCTCTGCCCTGAGTGCGGGAAGGGCTTCAAGCACAACTTCACCCTCATCACCCACTGGCACATCCACACTGGGGAGAGGCCCTACGAGTGTCCCCAGAGTGGGAAAAGCTTCACCCAGATCTCTGTCTTAACCAGACACCAATGGAGGCACCTGTAAGGGAAGCTCTGCCAATGCCCCAGTGCAGGAGCGCTTTTGTGCATTGCCCCAACTTCATCCATAGTTGGAGGATCCATGTTGCGAAGAGCCCTGGTGATCCATTTTTCCTTCTGATCCATGCTAGGAAGATACCTGTCCCTTTTCCTGCCTCTGCCAATGACATGATGTGCGATGGAAGAACATGAGGGTCTGGCAATGACTGTGTCATTACATTCATTCCCACCTCAGGACATTGCCAGGGACAGGAAAGGGACACTCTCTCTCTCTCTCTGTCCCTGAGGAGAAGGGTGTCCTTTCCAGGCAGGAGGAAATACATGGCCAGGCTGACCGAGTAAGTTGTGTTTTAGTTTTCCCTGTCAACAGTTTTATTTATACACTCTGTTATCAATATTGTTTCTGTTCCATTCGTTCCTTATCTCATTGTTGTTCCCAATAAATTGTTCTTATCCCAGCCCGGGATCTTTGCCTTTTGTGCTTCCCATGGGAGGCGGGAGGGCAGCGAGGGCAGCACGGTTTTAGCGGGGACAGGAAATTGGGGAATCCCATTCCTGAACCTCAGCCCGTGGAAACCGAACATCCCAGCTGGTCCCAGCCCTGGGGGCCATGGCAACAGCCTTGGGAGCGGGTCCCTGGCTGGGTCTGTGGGAACCTCTTCCCTCTGGTGCCCAGGGACAGGAGTGGAGGGAACGGCTGCAGCTGAGTCGGGGCAGGCTCAGGTTGGATGTCAGGAGAAGGTTTTTGCCCAGAGGCTGCTGGGGCCCTGCCCAGGCTCCCCAGGGAAGGGTCCCAGCTCCAGGGCTCTCTGAGCTGCAGCAGCGTTTGGACAGCGCTGCCAGGCCCAGGCTGGCATTGTTGGGGTGTCCTGTGCAGGGCCAGCAGTTGGAGTGGAGGATCCTGATGGGTCCCTCCCAGCTCAGCCAATTCTGTGGTTCTGGGATCCCATGAGCCTGGGGATGGGGCCGCCAATGGTTGCCATGGCAACAGCTCTGACTGCAGGCCTGAGCTGGTGTCCATGGCAACCACCTCGGCATGGGGTCTCCCTGGAGCTGCCAAGGGACTGAGCATAGCAACAGGGAGCTGGTGATGGTTGCCATGGAAACTGACCATAGCAACAGGGGGCTGGTGATGGTTGCCATGGAAACTGACCATAGCAACAGGGAGCTGGTGATTGTTGCCAAGGAATCTGACCATAGCAACAGGGAGCTGGTGATGGTTGCCACGGAAACTGCCCATAGCAATAGGGGGCTGGGGATGGTTGCCATGGAAACTGACCATAGCAACAGGGGCTGGTGATGGTTGCCATGGAAACTGACCATAGCAACAGGGAGCTGGTGATGGTTGCCACAGAAAATGGCCATAGCAATAGGGGGCTGGTGATGGTTGCCTGCTAAGGATCAGATTTGTCACAGGCCCTCGGAGGGGTTCCATGGGGACTTTCCAGGAGTCTCCAGGCTGTTCCAGAGCTGGAATGTCACAGGCAGAGACAGGGGCTCCATGGAGACCTCCCAGGGCTTTCTGGGGATGGTAAAGAGCCCTGTGGTCAGAGGCAGTCACAGCCATTCCATGGTGACATCCCAGGGGTCCTTGGGCTGCAAAGGCACCGATCTGTCACAGGCACTCACGGGGGCTCCACGGTGACATCCCAGGAGTCCCCAGGCTGCCAAAGAGCTGGGATGTCCCAGATACTCACAGGGGTTCCTGTCATGGGCACAGTGGGAGCTTCATGCAAAAGCTTTATTTCTTTATTGGAGAAACTCCTGCCGAGACGTGAGGTGGAAAAATGACACTCAACAGCCACCATGGTTCCTCAAACTTGTGCAGGACCCCTAGACTTCTAAAATTCATTCTAAGAGAGGAGACTGGGAGTGGCTGGATCCAATCCCAGCCCCAGTCTTTCTCAAAGGTGTAAGAGATTGGACATTGGAATTGGACTTGAACGCTATTTGTCCCACAGGATTAATCATAGAATACCAGATAAATTTATATAAATACAGCTCTGATTTTTTTCTGATCATGATTAGACAGAATGGTTTATTTGCACCACAGAGTAAATGAAAAAAATGAGTTATTGCTGCAGTCTCAGGTGGTCTGGACAAAACCTTTCCTGAGAGTGTCTTGTGGCAATGGGTAGGAACCATGAGAGCACCAGCACACAGACACACACACAGACACACAGATACACACACACACACACACACACACATACAGAGAGAGAGAGAGAGAAACGCTGAAAGTGTCCAGAGGCCAAAGACAAAGGATTGTCCAGGGCATAAATGGAGGGAAAGAGGGTGCAATGGAGAGCACCAGGTATCCAATGGTCTGAGGGCTCAGGGGTGGTACAGTGGGAAGGGACCAGTAGGGAATGCCCGGGTAGATGGACAGGGTTACACACCAATGGGAAGGGAGAACTCGCCAGAACATGAACATATAAGTGTAAAAGGGGTAGAGAAGGCCAATGGAGAGGACAGAACTGGGACAAATTAACATAGTGCGGCAGAGCACCATGGGGAAGCCTTTTTTCTCACCCTGAGCTGTGAGGAGTGCCCGGAGCCTGTGGTGTGTCTTTCCAGGGCATTGCTACTGCCTTTTCCCGGTAGGCTCACAGGTTTGCACAGTTGTGCAATGTCACAATGATCTCCTTGGTTCTGCAGTTCTGCTGTGGCTGCTGTGTAACAATGGACCTGTGATACCATGAGGCTCCATAGTGTCACCATGGTCCCTTTGGTTGCACAAGGCCCTGCTGGGACATGATGGCCCCTTGGTTCCATGAGAGGCCTGGGCTCCCACAGCCCCTCACAGACCCCTATGGCCTCTCAGAGTTCCCCATGGCCCCTCATGGCCTCTCAAGGCCCTTAATGGCGCCTCATGACTGATGGCCCCTCACAGCCCCTCCATGGCCCCTCACAGCCCCAGGGCTCCTCCAAAAGGAGAAGGGGTCAAGTCCTGCTTGTTCTCCTTTCATTTCAGTCCCTTCACAGCTGTGAGTGCAGAAAGGCTGAAATGGAGCCTTTCCCCAGTGTTTCCCTCAGGGCTAACTGCGGGCTGAAGCTCTGTGCTGGCCTCGGCCCCAGTGCCACCATCCCTGCAGCCGCCAGGCCTTTGCTGTCCCCCCGTGTCCGTTCCCTGTCCCCGAGTCCCGCCCGGCTCTGGCAGCAGCAGCAGCAGCCGCAGCGCAGGGGGCGCCGGCCCGGCCCAGCCGGGGCTCCCGGCCAGGAGCAGCAGCAGCGCCGGCCCCTTCCCGCCTGCTCCCGCCTCTGCTCCCAAGGGCTTTTTCCAGCTCAGTTCTGGAGCAGAGCAGCCAGCACCCACACACAGCCCTGACTGCTCAGGGCCCGCCTGTGCTGCCCTGAGCCAGACCTCAGAGCAAGAAAGGATCGGGTTCCAGCGCTGTTTTCAGCTCTGTTTGACTCACCCTGAGGTGACAGCAGCAGGCTGCTGGCGCCTTTGCCTTGGGAATTTGGGATCATGACTGCTCTTGGCCCTCTTCTGCTTGCCACCTGAATTTTATCAATAAAACTGCAAGTGCCTCTTTCAGTTGGTGCTACCCATGGTGCTTTCATGACAGTGAAGTCAGTATTTTTGTCTCGGACATAAAGATCAGCAGATACTGGAATGTCCACCAGCCCCTGAGCACTTAAGTGAGGGGAATTAAAGCCACACAGGCCACATTTGCAGTGCTCCAACAGAGCCCTGCTGCTGGCACTGTTGAAATAGAATAAACTGACAGAGGCCATCACAGAAATTGCCTCCGCAGTGTGTAAATTGAAAAATCCACCAGGAGAAACAGAAACCTGAACTTCTTGACTCACTTCATTGTTCCTTCCCAGCAGCAGGAAATGCAGATGCCCAGAGGTGTTTTGCACTGCTGCTGCCCCCAGTTTGAGCCCAGGCTCTGCCCAGGCCCAGCGGGAACCTGAGCCCAGCCCAGAGAGCTCAGCGCACGCGGGGCCAGGCCCAGAGCCACAGGCACGGCCGCCCATTGCGGGGCAGCGGCGCAGACGGAATGTCCTGTGGCCAAACCTCCTGCTCCTGCCACACAGTGCCAGCCTTCTCCCCCTCCTCCTCCTCTCCCAGCACGGCACAAATTCCAGCTTGGAGGAGGCTGCCGCAGAGAGGGCTTAAGCTCCTGTTCCAGCCTGAGTGTCCCTGCAGAGGAACAGGGAATCTTTCAGGCAGTTGCACAAGCTCAGGCTTCTCACTTCATCGGGAATCTGGGATGCAGATGGCCTTGCTAAGAAAGCCAAAAGCCAAGGGAATGGATTATAGATTACTGAAAAAAACCGTCAGCCATCTTTCAGGCAAGGTTTACCAAGTCATTTCCTGCATTTCTTCTTTTCAGATTCTTTCAGTTGGCTACTCTGGGAAGTCCAGCTTGTACTGGTGCTTATCATGAACTGATTGT